TGGACACATCAGATTTTTTCTAGAGTAAACAAAATGCCCCATATGCACTGCTCCTAATCGTATACCAATCCTTTCTATATCATTTCGTTGAAGTGCGAGTTACGAAAATCACCTGATATCTGGAAACTAAATATGTATCCACATAATATTAGGGTGGGATGGGAAATAATTATATCTACGGACAAGCTAGGAAAATTATAATTAATTTGTCTTAAGGTAAGTCGATTACTTTTTTTAATTGTCCTTCGCTTGTCCTTGATATAATTATTACATTGTAGATGTTTAGAGCAAGAAAAGGTGATTTTCTGAATAATTATTTATATAAACATTATAAACGTAATTTAATAAACGAAAATTTACATTTATAGCTAATTTTATAACCACATACTAGCTAAAAAGAGAACGAGAATAATAAAATTATTGAATGATCACAATTTAAGAATAGGTCAAATAGTTGATTTAATTTCCAAATCAATAATATTTAAAAAATGTTTTAGAAGACGGTGTCTAACCAGCGATATTTCTTATTTGTTCAGTACTTACACCTACCCTAAACGCAGCAGATGTTGATGCGTGGCGTACACTAGTCGAGTCTATCAGAGATTTTAATTTCTATCCTTCTTAACGATATATTGGAGTATAATCAAGGAAGAGTCTGTACTCTGATGGCTGATGTAAATTAAAGCCATAAGAGTAACAACTTTATTTGTCAACTTTTCGAAACGTTAAGTCTCCAGATGGTGTAATTTTCTTAAAACCCCTTTCAAAATAATTTGTGTTTTTCATTGGAATTTAATAGGTCGAATTTTAAATTTAACGCTGACCTTATACTTTCCAATATTTCGTAAAACCGGCTACATATTGTTTTAGGACACCTAATGTTAGAGACTTTAAAATTATCATGCGCCTCTACCTAGACTAATGCAACTGGCTAATTAATGCAATTTAGATATCACTGGGTGTTCAATTAGCCAATTTCAGAACGAATATGTTTTTATTATATTCAATACATTTCATTTCATAGAAGTATTTAATATTAGATTTATTGTACCGTTCATAATGTATTTCACCATCATGAAGGCTTCTTTAAATACCTTCGAACAATTTCCCTGTCACCAGGCAAATCTTGTTGTGGCGTGGATGGCTCTTCCTAAAAGGAGAGATAAGTAAACATTTTTCTGGTTTGAACTTGATAATATCAAAAAAGCAGGAAAGGCATAAAAGTAATATGTTAACCATTGTCCAATGTAAGGTAAATACCCAGATTCTGGGTCTGGAAACCATGAAATAAATCTTGAACATTTTCTAATTTATTTTTGTGGCAAACAAATCTATTTCCGGATAATTAAACCTTTTTACAATAACCTTAAATACTTTGTCGTTTAATTTATATCTATGGTAATAGACCTTGATTCCCTATCTGCATTTGTGTTTGCTGTCGACGACCTTTTTTTTATTACATTTTATATGAATATTTAATGATTCCATCGCGATTTATACAATACATGGCTGTATGGTTGTCATCCTCCGTAATACGCAAAAATTTGTTTCGTCTTTACCAAGAGATTTTAAAGCATAAAATAACTGCTTTGATTTTTAAGAAGTTAATGTGGACCAAAATCTTTGATAATTGTGTTGATAAGGTTGCATATCCAAGTGCTAATCGCGCCCAACACAGCTTAACTGCGGTGATCGCCTTGGAAATTATTTCTGGTAATAGTATATCTTGCCCTCTTTCTTTAGCTTGGGATACCGATCTGACGGCCTCTTCTCTTTCTTCTTATCCTTCATTCTTCCTTTGTACACTGTCATAATTCCTAATTAGATTTATTGGGATTTTCACACATGGTTCGATTGTTTTGAATAAAATGCTATTGATATTTCTTTAACTCAACTTAAGAGCACTCAGTCTTATTTAATATTTTTCCAAGCCTGTAAGAAACCTAAAAGGCACCTTAATTTTGTGATTGAATATTCTGGAATAGAGAGTTTTTTTTAAATAACCACTTACACTGCTGATAGCCCATGCACTAGTTGTTGTTACAGTGTCATTATAAACCGGTCGTGTTCCTGCGCTGGTTTTGGCAAGCAGGCTTGAATTTCTTTCTAGAGTTTTACAGTTAGACGGAATTTGTAATAATTGAAAAGTTCTTCTGCTGATCTCTGGCTATACCCTTTGACAAATTAATTCTAACGAACAACGATTTCTTCATAAAGAGTATTTCCTTCTGTATCACTGCAATCTGGATGTATTTTCTATTTTTATAATAATTTACATTGAAACACAGGAAACCAGAAGAATCATCAAGAATCGCTGGACTTTCTAAAGATATGTTATTTACGTGTATATTTTGCTTACTTCAAACAGTAGGATCATTAAAGACAAGATAATATATTTCGTCTTAATAAAATCGCAAATCGCTCGATTGCTTTTAAGTATGGCTCAGAACTTTAAGAGGAAAGACTCCACTGTATATAATTTTTATATAACACTGACAAAATCGCACGTATTTTTTTATTTTAAAACAATTTATTTTAAAACAATTTGTTATATTTTTATTAAATTATTACATTTTTATTCAGAAATGATAACACACGTTCAACCCTGTATATTTCCTGAAACCTGAAACACAGAAATATCTTCAAGAATTGCTCGACTTCCTAATGAATATTTATGCAAGAATAACGAACGTCTAGTCTGCTTAATTCAAATGAAATCGCTCGATTTTCTCTTATTAAATACCGCCGGGTATTTCAAAAGATAATATTTTTACATAGAGTTACTGAAAAAGTATTCAAAAGGGACAACGCACGTTCTTCCCCCCGTATATGTCCAGAAAAACAGAAAAATCATCAAGAATCGCTCGACTTCTTGATTTAGAAATTTTCAAGGTGTCCGGTTTGCTACTAAATACCTACAATAAAATTATCTTTTGGAGTTTATACAGCTTTTATGAAATTAAAATATATAAAAATGTACATAGGTAACAGACATTAACCACCTATAGGAAATTGTAGCATTTATAAATCTGTGTGTAGTTCTCCAGCTGAGTAGTCGACTACCTTAGCTGAAGAGTATGTTTACAAGATTGATTTGGGCGAGTATGGAAACAGATTTTACGTGAGTCTAAAGTACATACGACAAATGGTGACATGGCCTTAGTTTATTTTAATTATCTCTTTAATATTTTTTTTTGTTTGTGTCATCGGCGTCAACTGCTACGGTTATTAGCCTCATGTTCTGTGTAGGCTTTGTTACTGTTTCCCAGCGCCACTTTAGGAACAGCACTGTTAATTAGTACCCAACAGTGAATGGTCGAGTGGGGAATCCTACCAAGGCATCAGAATTAATTTTAAATAATTAAATTAAATGAAAAAATTCCGGCCAACGGTGGGATTCGAACCTGGGACCCTTGGATCCGCAGGCAGAGGCTCTACCACTGAGGCACCCACCCCCTATCTCTTTACTATTAAATGCAAAATTATGATTTGACAACCATTTTAGTTTTTATCTAGTAATAAGCAAAAATACATTTTTACGAATTTTTACAGTTTTTGTGAATATAATTAAAACATCGACAAGCAATTTTTTTGAGCGTATCAAACCGAGATAAATAAATTATTATTTACATAATTTTGTGTCATTTACGATCACACAATTTTGAAATTTCAAAAATGTATTGTGTCTAATAGGATACAGCATTTTTTTGAAAATATCTCACTTATACATGAGACGATTTGTGGACAATATACACCATTTAAATCAAAAACTACGATTTTCACTACTTAAACAATTTTATCTAGAAAAAGGCAACGCAACAGAATAAAAAAAGCGAGCACCCTTGTTTATACTTGCTTTCCGAAATTTAGAATCCATGGCTACAAAATAAGCACGACGCAGTTCCAACTGTTAGATTTGCCGACATGCTCACTTCAAAATTTTAGAAGTATGAACTTTCTACTCCGCATCTTAATCCGCCACCTGCAGATTGACTGAGCGCTCTCGAAATCATATCTATATATGTATTACGTTAAATAACCTCGTCACCGCCTCTTTTTCCATGTACAAAAACTTGTAACTTGGTCCCATAAAACTCATGGACATAAACATTTCCAATGTTAAAACAAAAAGCTTTAAATATGCCAGCATAGCTCCCAGTCCCAGGCCTGCATAAACTGGGAAAGTTAAAATATAAAAAATTAAGTATTATTTTCTAGTTTGTTTATTTATCACAGACAATGATTATTTCGTTAACATCATTTTGGTTTATTGTATAAAATGATAGATATATTTTTCAACATAGCAGCTAAGGCAACCTAGTAACTAGTATATACCAGATGCAGGTATAATTCCAGAAATTCTGGTAAAGTTTTAATTGCCATTTTACGTGTGAAATTCTAAAAAGAAGATGAGTCAAAAAAGAATTGTGAAATAATTTTATACGGTATACAAAATGGGAAGCAATTATGCTAGGCAGAATGTCATTTGACCGTTGAAGTACACTTTTACAAAACAAGTTGAAGTTGATTAAAATTATTTAATAAAAATCATGCCGTATGTAAAATTGCGCATTGTTTTAAATTTTTCTTTCGTTCAATTTTCATTTTATAAAATTTTTAAAAAACAAAAAACAAAATTTAATAAACTTTAAACAACGCATCTTAATCTTAAATCACATTATTTATTAACACCGGCATGCAACAAATGTTATCTAAAAATAAGTAGATACCAAAGGTTTTATACTTACAAGAAACTTTGGCCTCAGTTTTATTCGACAACACTCGCTTTGTAACCATATTAAAACTGTTCCTCTAAGCTTCTTATAACTTTTGTATTTTCATTCTAAATGACAGACTATCGATTACAGATTATTTATGTAAGAAAATTCATATAATCATAACCGATGTACAAACAAAATCGAATTCATTAATTGATTTTTCTGACCTAGTACTAGAAGGAAGGTAAAAAGCTTATTGGATTTATAAATTTTTTATTTTAGAGTTTGCATTGGTTCGATCAATTTTTTAAGTGAGAAATTCAGTTAAATAATACATATCTCGTGCACAAAATACAACAGAAATAGATGGTTTCCTACATGAAATGTTATGTTATTCACTATATTTTTACAGTAGCGGTCATACTCTTCGCGAAGGGGGAGCATTAAGCCAAGCCAGCCCAGCCCAACAAGGAAAAAAGTACTATAACGGTTGTTAAAAATAATGCGTTTAAAAAGTCCTGCACAACACTAATATAGCCAAAAAGGACCCTATTTTATACAACAATTTGTATCTATAGAAATTATATAACAAAACTATGCCTCCAATTATTATACAGCAATGTAAAGTATATCTCCAAGATTATTTATATACAAGAAATTTACGTATACATTTTAGTACATACTGCTAAAGAAATATTGTATGGTGTTGTACAGTACAGCCACAGTTTATAGCTAGAGAATCAGTTCGCTCACTCTGCGTCGGCACTTTTGATCTCAATGTTCCAGTTTATACACTGCGCAACTCGGATTTGTATCCCTGGCGCATACAGAATCAATTCATAACCAATACAATACATGACAACCGCCTATATTCAAACAGCATTCTTCTGCGCATTCTGAATTTGTATCCCTGGAGTGGATATTATTTTGGAACATCCAATTAGTCAGAGTGAGCGAACTGATTCTTTTAAGCTATAAACTGTGGTACAGTGTTCTAAGAACATTTATAGATAGAATAGAAATTGTAATTTGAAATAATAAATTTAATAATGGCCTATAAAACATAATGTTCAAAATGATGAATAATGTTTAGTAAAATGTATTCTTAGTACCTACATCAAACAAGGCAGAAAGAAAAATGTAATGCGCCTCAGTTTAGAGTAAAAATTAGTGGCCTCTCTCGTCTCGTCTCGTAGGGAGAGGGAAAACTGTTCTCTCGTCTCGACGAGAAAGCGCTTCTCTTGCTCTAGAGAGCCTTTCTCTCGTCTTGTCTCGTCTCGTTTCTCTCGTGATAAAATAATATCAAATTTAAATTTGAAAAAGACGAAACATGAAAAAACGGTAAAATTTGTAAGACAAAAACAAAGAATTTTTCAAATAATTTGCGCATTAGTGCCCAAATTTGGCAATAAGAAACAATTATGTCTCTCATAGTCGTTTTACAATAAATTGAAATTTGAAGTAAGTGGCCCAGATTAGGCGTTAACTAAAAAGAAAATACTTTGTCTTGTAAGTCAGTTGGGGAGGGAGAAAGAGGTTAAATTGGAAGTTAGAATTTTTCTAATGCAATTCTGTGATGTCAAATGAAAGCATTTTGTAGTATGTTTTCAAAATGCAAGAAGATAGAGACATAAAACAAAAACGATGTGAAATTAGAGAAATATTATGATATTTTTGTTATAATGAGATGCAGTTTACTTGAGACGTAAAATAGAGGGCGTTAATATATTTAAATTTTCTAATTGAAAGTAAAGTCATGTAATACCTTATTTGAAAGATATTTTGATTATATTTACGTCCAAGCAAACAGTTTTTAATTTTTTTTGTTTTTACAAAAATTTCATTCTTGATAATCCTCGTGTGCCGCGCAATAATCCTAGAAATATTAGATAATGTTAGAAGATAATTTTTTAATAAGCTTTTTTTGCTAAAAAGTTATAAAAAATTGAATACGTCAAGTGGTTTTTAAATCACCTTTGATATTCTTAATTTATTTATTTTAGTAAATACAACAATAATTGTTAATACGAGAGTTATCAAGAATGTAAAGGCCCAGAACATTTCTGTATAAGAACAAAGTATCAGCTACAAAAATTGCTATTTGTGCAGTGTTAAATCCTTTTAACAGTAAAAAATTACTTAAATTTAAAAATATACTGACATTTACTCTGTACTAGCCAAAATGTTAATTATCCATTGTATATTATTGTAAAAAACAGCATTTATAAGGTATTATACCTCCGGTAATGACCCTTTGAGGTTGAAGCGGCAAATAAAAAAAATTTAACCTACTTTATGAATTTATTTAATGTAATTTCTTTAAAAACATAAAAACCTAAATCTGTTGCAAAAATATAGAAAACACCTTTCAAATGAGGTATCACATGACCCTACTTTCCATTAGAAAATTTAAAGCTAGTAACTCCCTCTCTCTTACGTGTCTCAAGTAAAGTGCATCTCGTTATAACAAAAACATAATATCTTTTGAGTTTTACCTCGTTTTTGTTTTGTCATTATCTTTTTTCATTTAGAAGTTAAAATAGAGGAGGGTACAATTTTCATCCCCATTGTGTATAAAACAATATTTTTTGGGACAGTTTTTTGAAAAAACGCTTAAAAATGTTCAACTTATCTTCAAAAGTAACCTCAGATAAGCAGAATGGATTAATTATAAGAAATGATTGTTTAAATTTTAAATAAATAAAATTAAAAATATTTTTTCTTATAAATCACCATTTATAAAATCCTAATAACACAAGTATCATTTGTTATCATTTAATATATATAGAAGAATAGGTGTGTTATAGTTAACTTTTTGACTATCTCGAAATCTAATATGTTAAAATTTTAAGTTACCATAAGCAATTGAAAATTTCAAATAAGCAAAGAGAAAATTGTTCGAGAGAGCCCGAGAGAGCTCGAGAAATTCTCGTCGAGAGATAACACTCTCTCGTCTCGTCTCGAATCTGTTTTCGAGAGAAAATGTCTCTCTCGTCTCGTTCGAGACGAGACAAGACGAGACGAGAGACGAGAATCTCTCGTCTCACGGTATCACTAGTAAAAATGCTTAATTAAAAATTAAGAAGGAATTTAAATTGTGATTTAAAAAATTAATCATATTTTTAATTTTTATTTCTTAAGCTAATAGATTGTACATGTTTTTATTCAGACAAAACTGTTTTTTAATTGACATTTTCATTTTTCAAATGAAAATTATACAAAAGAAAACAATTGACTATAATTAGTTCCGGCGCAATGGAAAGCTGGTTACACTTTATTTGAATAAGAGGTCTAAAAAAAATACTGTAATTTTTATGCTCAATGTCCTTTATTTGTATTATTTTTATATGGCCTTTCATAACTTTTAGCAGGTTATGTAGTTGGACATTTTGATTCTTGTCATATTTCAGATTTTGGACTTAAAAAAACCATTATAAAATAGAGTAGTTTCATGTAATAACCTCTTTCTATTGCAGATTACAATTTTACAGGATATTTGTCAAAGATATTATTATAGTATTTGTAACGGCACAACTAGTTATGTTCTATTTTCAAACTTTATCTTATTACTTATTATAATGAAAGAAAGTGAAGTGAGAAAAGGGGTTTAGTCTCGGATCTAAATGCAATTTTTGTAAATAATGAAAATAAAAAATTTCTAATTTCCTCTTCGAAATTATGAAAATTACACCCTCATATACCCAAACTAAAAACAAACCAAAGAAAAATTGAGAAAGCTAAGAAATAAAAAATTAAAAAATGCGTCAATAGGGAATCGAATCTGGAACTTGGGCCGTCCGCGCTCTGCCAATTGAGCTATTAACACTACTACGTATTTATATCCGAATTCGCAAATTTGAAGTCATCAGATTCCGATTTTCGCTGGTACACACAAATTCCCATTCAATCTTGGCTCCTTCAATTCTCCTTAAAGCCATCCTTTTGACATCGTTTAGTTTAGAAGGATACAAATTTGTTCTAGTATATTATTAATTAGAGAATTTGATGTTTATTTGGAATTAATTTTCAAAATTATTAAAAGTTATGTAGTTTTTGACTTACTAAAAAAAAGAACTGAAAACGCCCGATTTTTTATTGGTGGCATTTAATTTGATATATTTTCAAATGTTACATTATTAAGAAAACTTTTTAATAGAGATTATCTTTGTGGAAAAGATTTTTCAATTTTTTTGTGTTCGATTTTCCTACCGTAATTTTCTTATTTCTTATGTGGGCCATCTTGGTTTTTTACATAATATTATTTATAACCTTCTAAATTACCTTTTAAACGGTGTGTCACATGACATCCAAAGTTTTAATACCCTTAAATTAATAAAAAAATCTGATGTGTCCAACACATGACTTTCCTATCTAGTTATTACATGCTTTTTCCGGTTATTTTTTACAACCTATTGTATCACCTCTGTAAATGTTTAGAGGATAAACTACATATACAGGGTGTACCAATAAAAACTCCCAGGCCGGATATTTTTGTAAGTACTAGAGATATTTTAATTCTGTAAAAGCCAGTTCACAGAGTTTTAGATATAAATTGATTTTAAATAGGTTAATATGTAGATGGCGCTGCGCTCAACAATTTTTTCTCGATGGGAAGATCTTTCTTGTGTAGCGCATCTTGTAAAAATGCATTTTTAAGCAGATTTTGTTTTATGAACTAATTCCATAAATCTAGCCATTTTTGATATACAGAGTGGGTCACTCAAAACACTTTCATCCTGTTTTTCAGCATTAATCATTGAATTTTAAGAAAATGTTAAAACAGGTCGATTTTTATTCCAAATTAAAAACATTTTTACAATACAGATATCTGTCATGTGTCAACTCCCTCCCTCCTTCCCTCCAGCACCTTAATTTTAAATAGTTAATGTACCATGTATGGCACATCATTAAAAATGTAATTTAATGAGGATTCAGAAATATTTCTGTACATTGCGTTACTTAAGTTTTATCGCCCTCTAGCGGGATAAAAAACTACTACGTATTATATTGTGAAATTACAATGGTACAAAGTTAATTTTATGGGGAATTTAGAAATATGACTATCCATTTCGATACTTTTAATTGTACTGCCCTCTTTCGGGATAAAAAACTGTACGTATTATAAAGTACGACACCTTATTTGAAAGAAAATTTAATTACTAATTCAATGCACCACATTACATTAATTAAATATCCTCCATATTGCACTTGCAATAGTCATAAAATTAGTCATGCATTATTTTAAACATTATTTTGTTGCAAGTGCAATATGGAAATATTTATATTAATGTTATGTGATGCATTGAATTAGTAAT